GAAAGATTACCGCCAACACCGAAATCTATCTAGTATCATCGTCCCCCTGTGGAGGCAACCCCCTGTGCTGGTGTTGGTGCCAATTTCCAGGCCTCCAACTATACATAGTCACGTTACCATGCCTAGCAAATGCCATCCACGGCTCTGGAATGGAGTGCAGGCCCTCGCGGCCTCGGCCGAGAGGGCCTTTGCACCATCCATCAGCACCCCAAGGTCGAGGATGGTCTTGACCTGGGCATGTTGGAGGTGGATCGGTGCCTTGCGGGGATCTGCCTCCGCTGACCGCACACCTGCGTCTGGGCAGTTGGCGATTATGGTCCAGTACGTCGCTTGCGGGGCATCGAGTTCTTGCCGCGAGCCATCGCAACCCAAGATACAGGGAGACAGCGTGACCCGTGATGGTGCAAGTATGGTACCTCGAGATCAGTGGCCATCCAATTTTCTCGTCCTAACGCGCCGCCGCACACGCGCTCCGTGCATGCTCAGCGACTGTTCCAATACGTGGCGAAGGTCAGCACGCACGAACCCTTACATCCAGCAGGAAGCCACAGGGTCGGTTCGCGTGGGCGGAAGGTCTCCGCGAATGGGGCCCAGGCTTCGAAGATCTTTCAGATGATCCCAATGTTGCTTTGAACGTTCAGAGTCTAGGTGTAGGGTTTCGTTGATGTCCGCGCGACTTCTTGGATATCCAGCTGCTGTGTTGTCTACCTCTATGCGCGCTTACACAAAATGTTCGGAAATTCTGGGGTTGTCCCGGTTGTGCCGATAATGTCATTGCCCTCTCCCTCCCTCATGATTATGCCCCTCGTCCTTGCTCTACACATTTTCCTTGTGATGGACTCCTTCTCTGCACAGCACAGGCGTATCGGTACGGCGGTCCAGACGTTCCGCTCGAGGATTCCCCGCCCAATCTGACCCTGACTCTTGAGTCTTCCGATGGCATACGGATGGTTGGTAATTTTCAACAACTACCGCGCCGCGCATGTAGGAAATCCTCGAGCTCCCAACGTATGCACGGAGGGTTGGCGGAGCGTGCTTAAGGTCTGGTTCTCCAAAGCGCGCTGGGCCGCTAACACTCGCCCCACCCGTTCCGAAGCGCTTCCAGCGGCTACACGGATGCAGGCCTATTTTTGTTCAACGTTGTCTTCTCGCAGTAGCGCCGCAAATGGTCGCCTCCAACGGTTCCAACAGCTAAGTGGATGGGCGATGCCTCCTTTGCTAAAATTGGGCTCCCGTGTCTTCCTGCTACCTGACTGCCCGCTCGTTTGTTTCTTTTGTTCCAGCCTTTCTCCGAAAATGTCAGCGCACCCAGTACCACTCTCCGTCATTCCACTTGCTTCTCAGAATCGCAAGCCCGTGTTGGTTACTCTGTGTTGCGCCCCACTGGGCACTCGCATTCACGCGTGGGACGTCCTAACTCCACTTGCTTTTCAAAACCACACGCGCGCTCCAGCTCCAGTGCGGTGAAGACCCCCCTCGGGAACATTTCGTGCACCCTGGAGCACCCACTCATTGTTGTTCCGGCTCGGCAGGCATGCACGCCCTCTGCATACAGTACATGTGCTGCCTGCCTGCAGGGGCCAGCCGCCCTTCAGGCTGGGCAGGATCCTGTCCATCAGCCGTGCCCTCGTCCTCGGCCTCCGCCAGCTCCTCACCGGCCTCTCCCGGCGAGGGCGGCGGCGGCGGCATGAAGATCACCGTGGAGGGCATCGGGCCGCTCTCCCCGGAGGAGGCGGGCGGCAAGGCCACGTGGCGCGAGGAGCCCCGGGGGGCTGCCGCCGCCGCCGCCGCTCCGCTCGTCGGAGCTGCCTTGGGGTGCGCGGCGTTCGGGGTGTGCGCGGGGGGGGGGGGGGGGCCGACCCGGGCACGCGGGCCGCCACCGTCACCACACGCGCAGCGGCGCGCAGCTCGCGCACCCACGGCCGCTCTGGACGGGGGTAGCTCTTGCGTGCCGCCGGCGTCCTCGTCGCCGTCCTCGTCGCCCTCGTCTTCCTCCTCCTCCTCCTTTTCTCCTGTACGTGGCTGGGCGTGTGCGTCCGTCTGTGCGGCTTGTGGGCATCCCAAAAGAGGGTGTCAAACAGGCCGTTCCGATTCTTTGAGACGCCAGATGTTATAACCAGGCGACAAATGTCGAGCCTGAGACCCGCCCTCGAGACCGCCCTGGCCAGAATCTCGAGGCGAGCCCAGCCGTCGCCACGAAGGCGCCCCCGAAGGCCCACCGAATCCGGTCAAACCGTCGATTCTCGATTTCCCTGGTTCAGAAACGCCGGTTATTGAGGCCGTCCAGAGGTCGAGACTTCTGCCCCAGGACCGGCGCTTCATCTTGGGTCGTCGTCGTGTGTTCTGCATGCGACGCCGCCAGGAGCTGCCCCTCAGCCTGGCCGCCCCGCGCGCTCCCCGCGGCGCCGCCGCGTGAGTGTCCCCCCCCTGCCTCCTTCCCCCTCCTGCCCCTTCCCTCTCGTGTGTGCGGGATTACTCGCAACTCCGCAGCCCAGACTTGCTCCGCGCGCCAGCAGATCGCCTCTGCCGCGCCGCGACGGAGCAGAAATTCTTCATGCAAGGGGATCTGTCGGACGGGGCTAGGACGAGGATAAATCCGTTCCATAGCGTTGAGGATCGCTCTCAGAGCGCCCCGGAAATCTCTGACAAGGCCGTGGCGCCCGAGACATCCTCCAGAGCCGTCGGATTTCAAAGATTCTCGATGCATCCTCACCCGCTCCGATCATAAGAATCGAATGCGACGGAATTCGGGTTTGACGACGTTGTTTGACGAGCGCGTCCTGGGTTTTGAAGGTCCAGTTGTCGTGGGATATCTGCAGCGGGGGCTCGGCGTCAAATTTCAGACGGGATCTCGTCATTTTAGTGAGGGCCCCGCAAGGCCAACTCGAGTCCCCCGAACCCGAGCCTTACGTCTCCCCGATGTTATCCTCGCCCGATCTCATCGGCACCCGATTTTACGGAGCCTTCTGCCCGATTTAGCTCTCACCCGATGTTCGATTCATCCCCACCCGATGTTGTCCTACAGTCGGGGCGCTGGAGAAGGAACCCTTCTCGTTGGGGAGGGGCTCGGTGGTCCTTCATTGTTTTACAGTTTGGCTTGGGTTTTCCCGAAGTTTTCGATGGGGAATCCAAGCTTAACTTTTGGGGTCAAGGGGCCTCGTTCCTTCTTCTTAAGGTTCCTTAGGTCAACGCCCCGACTGTGGTCTTGGCTTCGTATCACGCCTGGGAGCGCGCCCCCCCCCGGGAGAGCCATCCCGTGGGCCTCTCTCGTCCAGGCGCCCAGGCCGGGCGAGAGAGATGCCTATAGCTGCGCCGGGCCGTGGCCGCGAGAGAGAAAGTCCTGGCAGCGCCCTTCTCGGAGACACGCCGAGAGAACCCCCAGGAGCGAAAATCGTCCCAATCCCATAGGGACGTGTACAGTTTTAGCATACTCGCCTCCTTCGTCCAGTCACCGTCAAAGGCGGCCCAATGGGGTTCCCAAGATCGCCCCAAGACAGCCAATGAGGCCCCCATGACGGCCCAAGACGGCCCCAGGACGGCCGCACGGACCCCCAGACGGCAGGTCCGGCGCTTCTGGAGCGGCCAAGGGCGGGGCAATGACTACGGCGCTCGGACACAAAAAAATGTCCACGCCGACGGCGTGAAGACAATCAGGCACGAGGGCAACGACAATTGCACTGTACGGTTGGCTCGCCCCCCCGTCGCCCCCAAGCCCAAAGCTGAAGCTTCCGTGTCCGTATTTTTGTTTCCCCGCGTGTTGCCTCGCACCCAACCCCGTCAATTTTGGGTTGGGGGAGACGGGGGCTATGGATATTTGTTCGACGCTGTTCGATGTCGTATTATCTTGGCGCGATGAGTGTGGACATTTTTTCCACCCACCGTAGGGGTCTAGGCGGGCGCCTACCTTTGAGCTCTCGAACCTTCCCACCAGGCGGGCGCCTACTGTTTCAGCTCGGCTTCGCACCTTTTTTTAACCTCCCTTCGCCGCGGCGCCCGCCAGGTGAACGCCCCTTTTTACCTCTTCGCCAAGTCGGTGTTCTACATGCCATGTCTTTTTGCACGGCCCACATTAACGCCACAGGTTCTGTCCTAAGGTTTGCCCAACACAAGAACTAGGCCTAGGCCTCCTGTATGGTGTCCAAGCAGGTGAGGTCGGAGGATCGCGCCGCATCGCCGATGCATCGGCGATGCGGCTCGAGGTGGAGCTCGATTTCTCCACGCCGACGTCGCCGGTGCATCGCCGACGTCGACGATGCGTCGTCGGTGCATCCCCGATGCATCGCCGATGCATCGTCGATGCATCGGCGATGCGGCGCGATCCTCCGACCCCACCTACTCCGACTCCATCTAGGAGGCCTCTAGTCATGGGTGGGGCCATGGTATCCCCAGACTTCATGGCGCCTCGTCTTATCTCATGACGCCCCCGCCCCCCCCCCCCCTTGGGCCGCGCACGCGCCGCCGGCCACGATTTTCGCTCCCCCCCCCCCCTCTTGGGCGCCCCCCGCATGGACGCTCCCGAACGTTGCGAGAAGACTGCAGCGACGGCGTCCTTCGAGCCGGATCGATCCGTGCAGGTCCAGTGGCTCGAGATTGGGCGAAAGCGCCCAGTTGCGAGAACAGCAATGCAACACCCCGATCTCGTCCCATTTCAACCCGAGGGTGCCCCCCCTGCGTCCTTCGAGCCAGATCGACCTGTGGAGGTCCAGTGGCTCGAAATTAGGCGGAAACGCCCAGTGCGAAAACAGCAACGCAACGCTGGGGTCTCACCCATTTTCGGCCCGAGGGCCCCCCCTATCTGGCGGACCTTCGTCTGTGACGCCTTGATACAGACGGGGGGGAGGGGGATGCAGGACGGGAGGATGCGGAGAAGAGGTTTTGAGAGAGTTCTATGTGTGCTATTGTTGTGGGGGATGGGAACGGGAAAGACATGGGAAGGGATGGGAACGGGGAATGCGAGGGACTGCCAGGCGTACGAGGCCGCCAAGGCCAAGACGGACAGCATGGAGAAGCAGCTGCAGAGCGCGCAGTCCCTCGGAGCGGCCGCTCCCGCGCCGGCGCCCGCTGCGGCGCCTGCGCCGCCCGCGATTGAGCCCGAGGCGTCGGCCTTTAGTTTTCTGCGAGGCAGAGGAGGAAGAGGAGGAGGAGCAGGAGCAGGAGGAAGAGGAGGAGGAAAGGGAGGAGGGGGCGGAAGGGGATGAGAGGGGGGGATGAGGGGGAGGAGGAGGAGGAGGAGGAGGAGGAGGAGGAGGAGGAGGAGGAGGAGGAGGAGGAGGAGGAGGAGGAGGAGGAGGAGGAGGAGGAGGAGGAGGAGGAGGAGGTGAGGTGGAGGCGCAGGAGGAGGAGGAGAAGGAGGAGAAGGAGGAGGGGGAGGGGGGGAGGTAGAGTAGGAGGAGAAGGAGGAGGAGGAGGAGGAGGAGGAGGAAAAGGAGGAGGGAGAGGAAGGGGATGAGGGGGAGGAGGAGGAGGAGGAGGAGGAGGAGGAAGAAGAGGAGGAGGAGGAAGAGCAGGAGCAGGAGGAGGAGGAGGAGGAGGAGGAGGAGGAGGAGGAGGTCAAGGAGGAGGAGGAGGAGGGGGAGGAGGAGGAGGAGGGGGAGGGGGAAGGCGCTACGCACCCGATCTCTCGGAAGTTCTAAGAGCTCATAACTCTCAGACGTGCTCGCGTCGTGCAAAACGTCCAGACGGAGGTGTTTCATCGCTTGCGGCCTCCGGGGGCGCTCGCAGGACCCTGCGGCCGGCAAAGAACGCCTCGGGGTGGAAAGCCAGCCCGTAGAGGATCATCAGCTCGCCAGAGCATCACAGCTGCGCTTTTCGAAAGCTTTCGGACGCTCTCGGCGGTTTCTACAGGTTGGATCGCCTCGAGGTGCTTTCACGACTACGCGTAAGAGTTGCCCTTCGCTAGAGTGGCCTGTGGTGCCAGCCCCTGAAGGGGCGGGTCATTTTTCTTTTGGGACGAGCTTGAGCTCTCGTCGGCATCCGTATCGGGGGCGATTGCGGGGCGCGCCAGGTTTGCCCCCCCCCCCCCCTGCAATCGACAGCAACGCATACTTTTTTTTCGGTCGCATCCGCCAGCGAGAGCGCAAGCGGAGTCAGAAGAGTTCCGGGACACGGTAACGGCCCAATTGGCTTTTAAACGCGCCGCAGGCCGGCCCACTCACCAAGCAGCCGCGGGGCTGCGCGGGAAAGCTGACAGGCTGAGGGCGTCCAGGGAAGCTCAGGCACATGCAGCCTAGCAAAATGCCAGGGAATTCGGGGTGTGCCGCGAGGCATAATCCATTCAGACGGCGCGAGGGCGAGTGCGCCGATGTCTGCGTGTCCACAGCAACGCATACGCGGAGCACCCTACAGTGTCTTGGGTTCCCGAGGGAGGGCCGGTCGACCAGATGGCGCGTTTTCCGCCCGAAGGCCAGTCCCGAATCTCAGCCCAGCTGCCAAATCGTCCGGTCTGAATATGTTTGAATGTATCTGAATATTTCCGACTATGCTTTACTATGCTTGAACATTCTGTTTGGGACATATGGATCTTCAGGCGGGGTGTGTATCGTGGCCACCCTTCACTCAGCGGCGGTGAGCGGTTTTCCGCCGCGTAGATGTCCAAGTCGGGCCCAACGGATCGGACACGTACGGGGCGGCCCGGGTGAAGGGAGGCGGTTCGGACGTGTTCGTTGGTCCCTGCTGCCTAGCATACGCTCTAGCAGCTCCGCCTCGCCGAGCGCGCCCCGGCGTCCCGATTGCCGCCAGAGACCCGAGTTATACGGGCAGGATGTTTTGCATAGCGTGGCGAGGCGGTGGCCCCAGCGGCGCGCGCCGCCTTGCAGGCGGGATGGCGTGCCGCTCCCTTCCGCGAGGCGGGAGGCGGGGAGCCGTTCGGGGCGTTGAAGCTCGGAGACGAGCGCGTGGAGCGCGTGTGTCGCGCCGACGCGCGGTGGGCCGGAGCTGGCGGCGGGACGCGCGAACCGAAAGATCTCGGCAGCACGGCCAAGAATCCAGACCCAGAGGGAGGAGGAGGAAGAGGAGGAATGGGAGGAGGAGGATTTGGCCCATGTGCGGGCCCCAGCAGCCCAGCGGGCCAGATCTTGCGACGCGGAGCAGAGGAATCTGCCGCCATTTTCTTCTCACGATTACAGCCTTTTCGCCCAACCGCCAGAGGGTTTGGGAACCAGCTTAGCACAGGCGTCCGAGGGCGGTGCGAGCCAGGGCTCGAGTTTTGCTCAGGTTGGCCAAGGCATCGCGGATAGTCGTCGCCATATGCCTTCCCAAAACAAGGGAGAGAGCGAGTAGCAGTATCAGCAGATCCAGAAAATCATCGGGGATGTGACTCCAGCATTGCCAGCAGAAGCGCAGAGTCACCCGTCCTGGATCATACCGCCTACAGAGCAGGACGGCATGCCAGAGTTTAAGCAAGACGTACAAGATCGGATGCAGACGTTAGCGTCAATCGTGATTGTCAAGCAGGAGTCGAGCAGATCAGCAGACGAGGAAAAAGCAGAGGTCGCCGTCCTCAAGCAAACGATCTTCAGCACCAAACCGATCGCATCTCAGATTCTAGGCTTGAGAATTCGTCTCGAGAAGATCGTAAAGCAGGTCGGCACCAAGAAGCAGAAGTTGATCAACCTCTAAGAGGAGATAGAGGAGCAGCTCAACGAGAAGGCGGAGCTCGAGCTGCTCATCAAGAGCGTGGAGGAAGAGAGTGAGCACAACGAGGGTGTCGTCGTTGCTGGTGGTCACCTACCAGGCGGAGATGGTGTTGTGCCGATGACGGATGTACGACACCGACCGCGCCCAGCACAGCAGACGGACCCGATGGCGACGCAGATGGAAGCCACTCAGGCAACACAACAGACCGCGTGCTCGGCATTGACGGCGATTCTCAAGGCGCTGCAGGGTCATGCCAGCAGCTCGACACAGGCACGCTGGTGGAGAACCCAAGTGCAATGTTGTTGAAAGCAGCAGCACCCGCGGAGGCAGCAACGACAAGCAACAACGTCGGGGGTCCGTCAGAGCACCTCTCGGAAGAAGCCAACGTCCAAGGGGAAAAGAAGCCAAAGGAAAGGATATTAACGAGGCAGACGACGAGGTCTAGATCCTAAGCTTACCAAGAGGGTGTATGTCGGCATTGTGCCAGAGTACATTCGTGAGGGAGGCGGCCTATCAGAAAGCGGATATGTTCGAAGATTGCGTGAGCGCCGTGGGCGAGCTACGGTAGCATCAGCGACGCCGTCTACATCGATGTCTGAGGCCTTTCGTGCTTCCGCAGGATCACCTGATCCCAGGGTGTTTCAGTTCGTTGTGCGTCACCAGTGTTGCCAACGCATAGCAAGCACTTCGAGCAGGGACTCAGCCCAGGAAATCGCGCGCCCATTTCAATCGAACCCTGTCTAGATCAGTTTCGGGAGACAGCCACTTGCAGCATCACTGGGCCCAACGGAGTGATGGATGCAATTCACACATGGGGTAGGCTTTGATCCAACTATTGATGTGCGGCATGTTGAGTTAGTTCGTGGCAGCAGCTGAGATGGTGGTCGGAATTGCGCAGCCGATGGAGCGGATAGGAGATGTGCTGCGCATCTACGCAGGTGGGGAGGAGCAGGAGGAGGGGGGATGATGATGAGGAGGAGGAGGAGGAAAAGGAGGAGGAGGAGGAAGAGGAGGAGGAGGAAGAGGAGGAGGAGAGGGACAAAGAGGAGGAGGAAATGGAGGAGGAAGACGGGAAGGAGGAGGAGGAAGAGGAGGAGGAGGAGGAGGAAGAAGAGGAGGCGGAGGAGGAGGAGGAGGGGGAGGAGGAGGAGGAAGACGAGGAGGAGGAGGAGGAGGAGGAGGAGGAGGAGGAGGAGGGATAGTTCTGAAACCTTGCCGAGGCAGGCGAGGAGTTCAGGAAGGGGGAAAACACACAGACACGCATAATCGTTGCTTCCCAGGAGCATATAGGAAAGTATGAGAAGTGTGGGGGGGAAGACGAACATCAAGAACATGCGAGAACATGTTGGGGATTCTCGGGTTCGTGTGTATTTCTTTGTGTGCCCCTGGGCCCTAAGAGGATTGTGCGTTCGCTTGCTGTCTGGCCTCTGGGGAGCCTCGCATCGCCAGGGCTGCTCTGCTTCTGCCAGAACGCACCGCAGGACGGATCCGAGGGCCGTTTTTTGACTCCCAGGCTAAAGCCCCCCCGAACGAACAAAAATAAGACGGACGGTTTCTGGCATCCGTGAGAGGCCAGTTTTGGACCCCGGATTGGACAACGATTTGGGGTCAAACGCCCACCGTGGTGAAGGGTCGAGATGTCCACAGGCTCGGTCAACGATTGCGGGAGACACTGGGGCATCTAGTTTTCAATCGTCCTGACAAGCATTTTAGGCAAAAGTGTTTCTGTATGTTCGGCGTCGGGAAGCAGTTTTCGGGCTCCGCGGCCCATAGCCGTCGTCAAACGATCCGGGACGAAAGGAAGGTCTCTGGGGAAAGGTTCGAAAGGCCGATGGACCGCGCATTCCAGAAAACATTGCATCGCATCTTTGGGTAAGAAAGGAAGTCTCAGACCTGTAGGCGTCGTACAAGGTCGACGGGCGGGTTTGGGTCCTCCTCGGTGTCTGGGGGCCTCTTCCAGGCCTCGGGACCGCAAACAGAAAGCGCCGACTGCCCCCCAGAGGCCCATGTCTGGAAGAGATGATCTTCGAGCGGGATCTCGAGGCGTTGGTTGGTTCGAGGTCGTCGAGGGGTGAGAGCTCGAGGCTGCAGGGGAGGCCTCCCTTTCGACGTCCCTCTGGGCGCACGTCGCCTCGGGGGAGACGTCTGGTTCCTCCAAGATCAGAGGAGGAGGAGGAGGAGGAGGAAGACGGAGGACGGAGGACGGAGGACGGAGGACGGAGGAGGAGGAGGAGGAGGAGGAGGAGGAGGAGGAGGAGGAGGAGGACGGAGGAGGAGGAAGAGAGGGAGGAGGACGGAGGAGGAGAGGAGGAGGAGGAGGAGGAGGAGGACGGAGGAGGAGGAGGAGGAGGAGGAGGAGGAGGAGGAGGAGGAGGGATGAGGAGGAGGAGGAGGAGGAGGAGGAGGAGGAGGAGGAGGAGGAGGAGGAGGAGGAGGAGGAGGAGGAGGAGGAGGAGGAGGAGGAGGAGGAGGAGAGGAGGAGGAGGAGGAGGAGGAGGAGGAGGAGGAGGAGGAGGAGGAGGGGGAGACGTCTGGCGGCCGCCTGGCCCTGTCATCTCGTGCCCTCCCCGCCCGAGGTGGTTGGGCAGGCGGCCCCGCAGCAGCAGAGCCAGCTCGACAACCCGCTCCCGTTCCTGGGCGCCGACGCCGTGAAGGACGCCTCCGCGGCGTGGCGCTGCCCCGCCCGTCCGGCGGCACTTTCCCGGGGGCTCCCACTCGGAGTCCCCGGCCGCAGCCGGGCCGGGTGGCAGCGCCTGGGCACGCGTGTGGCACACGGAGTTTCTCCTGATTTTCCTTCCCTCCTCCCTCCTCCTGCATCCTCCTCCTCTCCTCCTCCTCCTCCTCCTCCTCCTCCTCCTCCTCCCTCCTCCTCCCCTCCCTCCCTTCCCTCCCTCCCCTGATTTTCCTTCGGCCGCGTCCCTCCTCGCTCCTCCTGCACGGTGGCACACTTCGGCCCAACGGTGCCCCCGCTCGTGCCACGCATCGCCAGAGCAGTCGCCCTCTGCCTGGCCGCCGGAGGAGAAAGGTGCGTGGCACATGGATGGGGTGTCGGCAGAAGGGATGCGCAAGAAGTTGGAGGGCGACCCGGCGCTCTCCCCCATCCGACTCCCCCCCCCTCTCTCGGCCTCGGTCGCCGTTGCAAGAGGGGTCCCCCGTTGCCCATAGGCAGGATATGTTCCCCGAGGCGGCAGAACTGTTGCGACCGTTCGCGTGGGTCTATAGGCGACGCACAGCCGGTTCCAACTTGTTGTTGCGATGTGCTGTGGGGGGTCTGACTAGGTAGTTGGGCCTTGCAGAGTTTCCCATGCATCAGAAGCTGGGATCAGGCATTTCTGACCGTAACACAAGGCCCGGGTCTGAAAAAGCGATCAATTGGCTACTCCTCCGTCTGCTTCCTCCTGCTGCTGGTGGGCTGTACCAAATTCGTTGTCCTGCGCCTCCTGCGACCTCCTATGCACCTCCTCAGATTCTGGATCCAGAACGCCACCAGCGTGGTCAATGGGCCCATTTGTGTTAATCCCCGTTGGCCCGCGCAGCACTTCTACCACTGACGCTCCTTTAGATCAAACGCCCACTCACGAAGGAATCCGTGCCCATTAAGAGACCGGATCATCACATCGCTCGTGGATGAAAAATCAGACAATGGCATCATCCCGAAAAACACTTTCCCAGTCGATCGGGGGGGATTAATCATGAGGAAACGTACATGATCGGTCACGGGCCGGAAGTTCTGAATGGACCTTTAGTGGGCCTTTCGTGGACCTCTCGCCCGCGACCAACTTCTCCTCTCCTGCCTCTTCCTTTCTCCTCTCCAGTTTTCTTCCGGAGGGGGACACGGCCACCACCAAGGCCTCCTGGCAGCGCCGAGGGCACCCTGGGCCAGGACAAATTTTGTCAGGGCGCCTGGTCAGCCGACCGCCCAGGACGTGGAGGGATTCAAGAAGCTCGAGCTGCTTGCGGACAACACGATCGAGGACGCGCAGCCGAGCCGTGGGCAGCAGAGTGCAAACACTAGGTCGCCCACAGCGCAGCATCCGTTTTTTCTGCGCAGGGTTGCCGCTATCGGCGAAGGCGCAGTTGCTTGAGAGGGAGAGCGAGAGAGAGCGAGAGAGCGATATATATATATACACAAGATTTTAAGGCTCGCTGCGCTTCGACTTCTTATCTTGGCTCTTGTACCTGGCAGGCGCTTGGGCGTTGCGTCGAACATCCACACTGAGCTGCGATGCTGCTAGAAGTGCCACGTATAAGTGTATTGCGGGGTCCAGGCGGGGCCCACGCGGCTCCTTGTGTGCACGGACCTGGCGGCGGGCCGACAAGAAGATCCCAGGTGGTTGTTGTCAGGGCTGTGGTAGTGTGTCTGTGTCCTGGCTGCGAGAATGCGGCATTGGGATGTTCCTCTTCCTCCTCCTCCTCCTCCGCCTCCTCCTCCTCCTCCTCTTCCTCCTCGTCCTCCTCCTCCTCCTCTTCCTCCTCGTCCTCTTCCTCCTCCTCCTCCTCCTCCTCCTCCTCCTCCTCCTCTTCCTCTCGTTCTACTCATGTCGTTTTCTTTGGATGTCCCGTGGAGCTCGCGCCGGGCGAACAGGAGCCGGCGCAGGGGGCGGCCTAACCAGCGACATTCTGACACATTGGAGAAGACATGTTCGAGGAAAGCGGGCGTCAAATTTTAGTTCCCGGGCGTTCTGTGCCTCCTCCCCGTCGTCCTCGTCCGCGTCCTCCTCGTCCTCGTCGGCGTCGTCGTCGTTCTCTTTGTCCTCCTCTCCCAGCTGGTGCGTGCGTCCTGGGATGTGTCGCAAGCTTGTAGACAGAAGCCTGGGAGGCTTGTCGCGATCGGTCGAGTGGTTGCAAAGGCCGTGTCGGGGTATGCTTAGGGGCCTCTGGGGTATCTTTTCGGGTATCCTGCGCCCCTCCGGACTGTCATGGGAACGTCTTGGGCCATCTTGGGGCGAGCATAGGGTGGTGGAAAGTCTTGGGGCTCGCGCAGGCCGTGCTAGGAATCTCTCGGGCTGTGTTGGGGCGGGTTTGCAAGGCTACTGGGGCGTCTCGGAGCGCATGACAACTGAGGCCAGCAAGGTGAGAAACTACGAAAACCCGTGGAGAAAGAACAATTGTTTTTGACAACTTTGGCTTCTCCCGGGAGGCGCCCTGGCGTCCTAGGATGGTAGAGGGCTGTTTTTGCGATTTCAAGGGCCGCCGTGGAGCCATCGCGGGCGCCTTGGGGAGGGTGGAGGCCCAGGAAAGGCTAGGAGGAGGCTGCGGAAGGGGTACCATGGGAGTTCGTGGTCCATCAGGGGAGCATCTTTGTGGCTGTCGTGGACCGTGTCTGGGACTGCGTTGTGGCGGTTCTGCAATCCTTTTGGGCCGTGTCGGAGCGTGCGAAAGCTGGGGAGCCCAGAAAGTCGAGAAAGGATCGAAACCTAGAAAAAACCAATGGTTTTAGTCACTTTGGCTCCTCCCGGCAGGCGTCCTAGCAGGCTCTAGGGTTGGTTTTGCGGATTCTTGGGCCGCCTTGGGGCAGTCGTCGGCGTCTTGGGGAGGGTGGAGGCCCAGGAAAGGTTCGGAGGAGGCTGCGGGAGGGGCTCCTGGGATCACCAATGGAAGGGCGTGGGGCGTATATCGGGGGGGTATGTGGGGGGGGGGGCCGGTGACCTGTGGGTTCTCCCTTGTAATTTCATAGGTAGAAGGAATCTCTCTCTCCATATATTTATATATGTATCTATATATGTGTATACATATATATATATGGAGAGAGAGAGAGAGAGAGAGAGAGCGAGAGAGAGATATTGATTAAAAACAGATGTCGAGAGAGAGGGAACTATAGATAGAGATAACAGCAATAAAGAAATACACGGATATACGTGTATGTATATATATATGTATATATATACATATAGAGAGAGAGCGAGAAAAAACACAAAGAGAGACAGAGGCAAATATAGAAGTGCGCCTCGAATTGTGTGCAGCTCCGTGGTACGCTGTTTCTGCCCGCGCCTCTGGACTTCCAGCGCCGCCCTGATCTTCCCTCCTGCCTTGCGTCCTTCCCGCCCCCCTCCCTCGCTTGCTTGGTGGCACGAACCCGACGTGAGCAAAATCGCCAGGCTCGCTTTATGTCGCACCAGTTTCCTTGCAGTTTGGCATTCTGCTCACACAGGTCGGGAGGTCCTGGGGATAGCTGGCACACGCAATCTTCTGCCTCCCTAAATCGTTCTCATATTCGCCCTCAGGCGTTTGCCATGCCACCGTTGGCGCTACTGGTCCAAATGAGAGGCTGTCTACTTTGCAATCGTTAGGCGATCAGTTCAATACTAAGCTGCTGCACCCCGAGACAGGACGCGGAGGAGAATGAGGAGGAACAGCAGGTCGAGGACGTGGAGGGGATGGATGATCAGGAGAGGGAGGATGAGGAGGATAAGGAGCAGGAGGAGGATGAGGAGGAAGAGGAGGATAATTGGTAACGCAGTTTTGCTCAAGTCCGAATTGTGTGACGTCTCACCCGCATCGCCGGCGTGTCCTGTATGCGAGGAGCATGCGCTGTCAGAGGGAGGGACAGGCAGACGAGGAGACCCACAGCAAGGAAGGGTGCCCCACGTGATTACAGTGGGGACCCATGCCAAGACACACCCTGCTCGCCTCCAGGGTGCCCTGGGTTTCGATGGTTTTGCTATGGACGCGCGACGCTCCCATACTAAAAATCAGTGGACGTCCTGGGGTCTCAGGGATGGGTATCCTGTGGAAGGTTTCTTGTGGACTGGCCTCCATTGTACATGCCCGAGGAAGTCGGCAGCCTGGTGCAGACGAGTGAGCACGCTGAGCCTCCTGGCGCTGCAGCTGCTTCAGCTTCCCTACAGACAGTGCCGTCACCCCCCGTAGGCCAGATACGTTGACGCGGGCGAGAGAGACCCAGAGGGGGGCTTAGGGGTCATCTTACACGTGCGAGCACGTTGCTCTTGGTCTTCTTGGAATGTACTCGCCTGGGAGGTGTATCTTGATGCCTCCTCGGGAGCTGCGGTGCCAAGCGCGCAGAATTCAGTGATGTATGTCAACCAGAACTGTCCATCGGAGGTTCGTATCGTGAACGCCTTTCGGCCGGCACTGCCGACCCCGAAGGCGGGACCTCCCCCGGGACCCCGCTGTCGACCCCCCCTCGGGGCCCGCCGGGACCCCGGGAGGAGGCGGCATTCTGTCAAGGGGCCCAAGGACACATAAATAGATGCACACAAATAAAATGATTCCCCATATTTTCCCATATTTTCTGGGTTGGTGTCTTCCCCCCACTTCCCATATATCCCCGTATTTTCTGGTGAATCGACGATGAATTGTGTCTGTGTGTTTCTTTTCCTCCTGATTCTGACCTGGGGCCACCAACTTCCCTTGGGACCTTGGCGACCCCCCCGGAGGGTGTGGTTCCCTGGTCCCCCACTTACAGGGGGGACCCTCCCCGGAACCTGCCAGGAACCCGGGAGGGGGGTGGTAATCTAGCCCCGGCTCCCCCCTGGCGTACCCCCCCCTCCTTCCCTACCCCCACCACCGTACGAAGACGACGACAGCGTCTTACACACACCGAAGGGTTGGCGGATTCTTAGTCACGGTATGTATTTACACCTGCATACATAAATAGTTCAAATATACACATTTCACAGTCTCACCATTTCGCTCTCACCTGATACAAGGTGAATGTGGAACGTCAGTCACGATGAGTTTCGAGCATCTTTGTGCGACCGGCGGAGCTCGAGGAGCCGACTCACTGTTTGAAAAAGGCCGCAGGGCGGTTCGGCGACAGCAGATGACTGTTCGAGTCGGTCATTTGGTGCCCGAAGTCGGGCACGACTTTCAGTTGCCAGTCCAGTGTGCTCCCAGCGTCTTCTTCGTGGTTTGCTCTGGACGCGTCGAGGCCCTGCAGAGGCAAGCCGCCACACCACGCCCGCGCCCTCGTGGCTTTGTTTTCGCAGCCCGAGTGGCTGGCTCTGTCAGCGCCCTTCCTCGGAGGGATAGCACCGTACGTGCCGCCCTGCCGCCCACCACCTGCCGATGCTGCGGCAGCCACCTAAGGATCTGCCGGAGACCCCGACGCGGGCTCGGTGGGGCTTCTCTCGTCCTCCCCGCCTCTCTCTCTCGTCCCTCCTCTTGCTCTTCCGTTCTTCCTTTCTTCTCGCTCTTCCCTCACGTCCTCCTTTTCCCCTCTCCTCGCTCATGTCGATCTGAATTGTCCTCCATCCCTTTCTGTGTCATTGTTTTGTATTTAACTCTATCCCTCTTTCTCTCTCTCTCTCTCTTATGTATGTGTTTATGTATTTCTCTCTCTCTCTCTCTCTCTCTCTCTTTCTTTTTTTTTTGTCGTCTCTCTCTCTATATATATATATATATATATATATATCCATTGCACCTTGGGCGGTGTGCAGTTGCAGTAGCAGGAGCAGCTTCAGTTCGGTGCTTCGGATCTGTTGTGGGCGCGCAGAACACCAACCTCCCAGCGCGCCCCAGGCAGAGGCTGGCACACGACCCTCTCTTGCCGTGCTGTTCCCCTCCATCCGCCCCCCTCGGTTTGCACCATTCGTGATGTGCCCCTGGAGGTCCTCATAGTTCCTCCTTCGATCCTGGATCCTCGACCTCCGATCGGCGGCGACGACGGCCACGGCGAGGACGACGACGACGACGACGACGACGACCCTATTGGCCGACATTGTTTTCTCTGACCCCGCCCCGAAATTTCAGACGCGCCGAGACAGCATCTGCTCTCGAGCCTCGATCTCCGCCCCTCTCGGTCGGCATCCCCTTCTGGGCCTCCCGAGACGCAGACGCGCGGAGACAACTTCCGACCGCCTGGAAGGGAAGGGGGAGGAGGAGCAGAAGGAAGAGGAGGAGGAGGAGGACGAAGAGGAGGAGGAGGAGGAGGAGGAGGAGCAGAAGGAGGAGGAGCAGAAGGAGGAGGAGCAGAACGAAGAGGAGGAGGAGGAGCAGAAGGAGGAGGAGGAGCGGAAGGAGGAGGAGGAGCAGAGAGAGGAGGAGGAGGAGGAGGAGGAGGAGGAGGAAGACGACGAGGAGGAGGAGGAGCAGAAGAAGGAGGAGGAGGAGGACGAGGAGGAGGAGGGGCAGGAGGAGGGAGCGCGGCGGCAACGGTGTCAGCTCCCCAGGAGGAGGCGGCTCTGCGCCTGATCGCCGTGCCTGTCTTGGGCCGGGACCCGACGAAGGAGACGACGTCCTTGCCGCCCTTATCCCAGGCGCCGCGGCGACCTCCTGCTTTCTCATGGCGCCCCGCCCCTATCGACCGAAAAGGTAGGTGACCGAAAAAAGTCGGTGACCGAACGCAACGCGTGTCCGAAGTTGTGACCCAAAACTTCGCGTGTCCGAGCTTGTGACCGAAATTGTGAACGTGTTGGTTTGGAACCAAACATTTCGGACACACTGGGGCGGGGTCGGAAAAGTTCGGGCGCCAGTTTCGGCTACACTCGGGCAGATTTTCGGGCACAGTTTCGGTCACGACGCCTCCTGATAGAGGCGAGGCTGCGTGAGCCTTTCGAAGATCCCCAGGACAGGGCTCGAGCTGAAGGGTGTTTTGGCGATCTCGTAGGCCGTTTTCGTTTTGATATTTTGTTGCCGCAGAGGCTGAGCCATGGCAGAATGAGGGAAAACTAATACAATGCGAAAACGGAAAACAATGTTGTCGAGCTTTGTCCCAGGATTCGTCGGCGTTGGTCGAATTATCCCTGGTCGAAACATGCCTAATCTGTTTCATCACGCTCGATCTGGCTAAATCCCGCTTGATCCGGCTTGATCCTGATCCGTGCAGCCTTGTCCCAGGCTTAAACTGGCCTGATCTGATTCAGTGGCCCATTAATTGGGCTCAATCGCCCTTGTCCTAGTTCTCGCGAACACTTCCCAGATGTTGCCTTCTAACCAGCGCGTTGCAGCACGCATGTTAGCCCAATGGGTATTTGTCCCGTTCATCTCCGGCAATCGCGCGCAGCTTGTGCCGGCCGTCATTATATTGGAGACCCATACCAAGAAACACCCTGCTTGCCCCCAGGGCGCCCTGGGTCTCTTGGGCTTAGATGGTTGTTCTACGGAAAGCGTGACGTTCCCACCAAAAAACGTCCTGGGCTCTCAGGGTTAGGTTCCTTGTGGAAGCTTTCTTGTGGACTGGCCTCCACTGTACACTGCCTGGGAGTGGGCGGGGGGGCGGGCAGATAAGAAGGGACGGAGGGACGACGAGGGGCGACGGACGACGGACGACGGACGACGGACGACGACGACGACGACGACCACGACGACGACGACGACGACGACGACGACGACGACGACGACGACGACTTGCCAGACAGGCAGACGCTAGTGCGCGTTCTGAGGACCATCGAGCACTGCACCGCGCCATCGTGCCGCCGCGACCGCCGAGGGTCGCACCCTCGTTTTTTTGTCCTCGGCGAGCCCGGCCACCCTTCATGGGCCAAGGGCCCACGCGACCTCCGCGTCGCTGCGTTTCTGTTGGTGAGTTTAGTTGTTGTTGTTTGTGGGTTGAGGCTTTTTCCATGGGCCTTCTCGCGGTTCAGTGAGTCAGGTTTCTGTTTAGGGGTTTAGGTTCTAATGATTTCGGTTTTGTGTTATGGGTGTAGTAAGTGAGGTTCTAGTGACCTTTGCTTATGGGTGTTTGTTTTTTGTCTTGTGAGTTTAGTTTTTTTGTTTTATGGGCCCAGGTGTATGTGATCACTGCATCGTGGCCTCCGTGCGTCCGCGTGAAGCCGCCGGCCCCCCGCCACGCCGTGCAGGAAGCGGCCCCGCGGCGGCCGCGCCACGCCCCGGCAGCCGCCGGGCCACGCCCTAAGGGCCCATGGATCGGGGGCTCCCACAAAAACGGTGTGGTGGCCACGCCGTGCGGCGAGTCGGTGGGGATGCGGGGTCACCGCACGGCTTTGGGGCTCTCGGGTCGCTTTCCGAGGACGCCTCGGGCGACAGGGGCCTCCGAGGTCCCAAGCCCGTGCGCTGACGGGCCGTGCGGTGAGGTCTTGGGGGATGTCGAGGTCACGGCACGGTCTGTCACCGCACCGTCTCGGGATTCCAAAGAAGGGCCCATCGAAGAAGAAACAACGGCATGTCTTGTTTGCGTCGGCGGCTCGGCAGGGTACTTGCGCTGGCGGAGGGCTACCTAAACGGGGGTACCGTTGTAGCGAATTGCGCCACGATGCAGGAGGGAGGGAAAAAGCAGCGGAGGTGGCCGAAAGAGGGGCGGAAGGAGCGAGCCGCTCACGGGGGACAGTCACGCCCCGAGCGTGCGGCGCGGAAAAAGCTACATAAACATAAACTTTTGGCGCTCCGCGCGGATTTCTTGGATCCGCGCTGGGGCCCCCTGGCGGCACCTCCAGCGCCGCCCCCCGCGCGCTCCGCGCGCCAGGGAGGGGGATCCAGCGCAGATCCAAGAAATCCGCGCGCAGCGCCGAAAGTGCATGTTTATGGCGTTTTTCCTTCTTCTGTTGAAGCGGCTGCACCAAGTCCCGGCAGCATGCGGGTCACGCCAAGGGCCCGGCAAGGTCCTGGTGGACCCTGCAGCTACCTCCGTGGAGTCTTAGGGTCACGGGGGCCGGCTTGGTGCATGCTGTGGGCATCATTTTGTTGCAGGTGATCGGTCGCCGATACCTTCGTTGAGTCGCAGGCTCACGAGTGGGTTGGGCGACATTGCTGTGGATGACTTCCGCCTTTCGTCACGTGTTGGTGAACCTCATTTTGGAGGAGGCTTGAGTTCGACCCACATTCATATTTTTATTCACCGTTCCCTCATCCTTCTTCCCCAAGATGCCCAATTTTGGTTTGAGGATCGCGCCGCATCCCCGATGCGGCTCGATCAGGAGCCCGATCTTCTCCATCCAAACATCGCCGATGTATTGGTGATGAATGTGTGACGCAATGCGATCCGCCGACCCCATCTACTCTGGCCCCACTTGGGCGGCCTCCTCTTTCTTTTCCCTTCGATTGTCCTCTGCTTACCATCGCCTCCACTTCGGGCAGTCGGTTTCGGAGTCTTGCGCAGTTGTATGTTGCCCCTGTCGCTGATGTTTTTTTTTTTCTGGAAGAGGAGGAAGGAGGAAGAGGGAGGAGGGTTGGGGACGTTTTTTTTCGATCCCGGCCCAGCCTCTAGTTTCGGGCCCAGGGGCAAATTGACCAGGATGGGACTTTGGCGGGTTCAGAAGCCGATTTTGAATTGGTTTCGGGGCCAAGATAGAGGAGGAGAAGGAGGAATAGTAGGAGGAGGAGGAGGAGGAGGGGGAGGAGGACAAGTAGGAGGAGGATGAGGAGGATGAGGAGGACCAGTGTAGGCCCAAGAGACATAACGATGTTAGGATGGATCCTCCCTCCAAGCTCCCTGTTCGTAGGCCCCTACAGCAGTGCTTTTCCACTGATGGGACTGCCTCGTTTAAAGACAATCGTTTGAAGACCCTGGAGCTTGCAAAAACATGGTTCTCGGGATTCCAACGCCACGGATCAACCTGACTGTTGCGTCTTGACGTTCCTGAATCGTGCCAGAAGGCTATTACTGGGATTTCAACACCGCGAATCAATGTAACTGATGCGCTCTCATAATCCTGAACCCTTCCAAAACACAATTTCTGGTACGTTGATCAGGGGACTCTGTGAAACAGTTTCACATTTTTAGAACAGTACGCGCGGCGCTAAGGTGAGAGCCACATTTTGAAAAGGAACCGCCCTCAACCCGTGAAGCTCTTGCAATGTGTTCCAAACCGAATGTGCGCGGCGCTCAGGCGAGAGCCGCATGTTGAAAACGACCCGCCCTGCATCCGCGAAGCTCTTACAGTTTCTTTTCATAGAAACGAATGCGCGCGACGCTTCCTCCGTGGACATTCAGTGGTCCATGCGTCTGTGCAGGCTGAGCCGAGAGAGATGCTCTCCGATCTTCTGCAAGTTGTGCGGGGCTGCGGTGCACAAGACTGCACGGGGCCTCTTGTCCCGGTGTCCAGGCCCAGCCCAGCCAGGTCTCAAGACGCAGCGTTCGAGGCTACGCCGCGGTCTGTTTCCTTGCCACAATTTGGGCAACGCTGCCATCGGCCGTGCCGTCGGGCCGTCGGTTGAGATCAAGGCTGTCTGGGGTCTTTTGCTGGAGCGCCGGTGGGAACCGGACAGCGTCAGGAGGGCGCCGTTTCAAACAATTTGTCCCGCGACGTTTCCCGACACCTTTAGCCAAGGTGGCTTGAGCCAGGCTGTGGGGTCATCCGCTTCTTCGGCCGACGCGGGTACAGAGCGGAGCTCCGCCGTGGTGTGCTTGCCCCGCTTTGAAGCAGCTCGCGTCGCCCAGCTGCACAGTTTTAGCTCCCATGAGGCGGTGATGGATTGGGAGAAGACCCAACGCCGGCGCGAGGGAGTCGACACAGCTTGGGAGGATGAGGAGGCCAGCATAGGATGAGCCCCTCGTAGATTTTGCTGGGCCATCGGGTTCGGCATCAGGTGCTCGGCATTGGCGGGGCGGCTCGTTTTCTCGCTGGGCATCGGCTCAGCACGGCTTCTCGGCGAAATCGGGAGGCCCCAGCCAGTGTGCCAGCCTCCATTGATACAGAGGGTATCATCAGCAGCCTCAGCAGCCTCCTCCCCCTCCTCCTCCTCCTCCTCCTCCTCCTCCTCCTCCTCCTCCTCCTCCTCCTCCTCCTCCTGCTCCTCCTCCCCCTCCTCCTCCTCCTCCTCCTCCTCCTCCTCCTCCCCCTCCTCCCCCTCCTCCTCCTCCCCCTCCTCCCCCTCCTCCCCCTCCTCCTCCTCCTCCTGGACCCAGGATCGCTGTGCCTCTCCCTCGCAGCCAGGCGGCCTCCCTCTCGAGGGCACAGGAGGAGTAGGAGAGGATTCCTTCACGGCGGTCAGCTGGGCGCGGGCCGGTCTCCACCACGGCGCTTTTGGCGAAGGGGGAGCAGGAGGGGGGAGAGGAGGAGGGAGGAAGGGAGGGAGGGAGGGAGGAGGAGGAGGAGGAGGAGGAGGAGGAGGAGGAGGAGGAGGAGGCGGCTCGCTCGCTCGCTCGCTCGCTGGCTGCATCTGGCCCCAGGGGCCAAGAGTCCCAGGTGGTGACTGGCCGCAGGGCGCTCGGGATGCACAGTGTTCCCGTCGGCGACAAACTCAGCGGGAGCCCCTTCCCCAACACAACATGGAGGATGACGATTAATAAATGACCGGGGGTCGTGTTCACGCGGCGGCGCCCGGGATGACGATTAGAAAAAACCGGCCGCGGGCTGGAAAACTATTATTTTTAATCGTTCTCTTCCAGTCAGAAAATTATGCAGAAATAGCAGAAAACTATTTTTTAACCGTTATCTCGCATTTTTCATTAATCGTCATCCCGCATTAGTCGGGGGACTCCCCTAAGTGCGGCACAGGGTCGAGAAGCCCACGCCACGGTACTCATCGAAGCTGGTGCCCCTCCCGGGGCGCAGAGACAGAGAGCAGCAGAGAGAGGGGAAACGACGACCAGTCAGGCCTCGCACCGCGGGGTGCCGCGCGAGACGCATCAGAAACGAACCAGCTTGCTTCGGAAGCCCGAGCATTGCCGTAGGTCCAATCTCGGGGGCGCGCAAACATGGATTAACGTTAAGTCGGGCCTGTCCCCCTACAGGGGGATTTTCGACGACAAAGTATGCTAACGGAGTTCCCCACATAAAGATATTGACGGTTTCGTGGGACCCATGGGGTACGACAGCATCAACACGAAGGAGAAACTTATCGAACGAGTAAGTACGCACGAAAGGGCAGACGAAAGAAAGGAGGAGGGAGGACAGGTGCTCAGGAAACGAAGCCTTGTAATAGGTACGGTTTCTTGATACCCTCCTCGCTCTGGCGGGGCCCCGCTGGAAGGGGGGAGGGATACGAAACCGGGAGGGGTGGGAGGGGCACAAAACCATATAAATAGCATGGGTTTCCGATACCCTCCTCGCTCAGGCGGGGCCTCCCTGGAGGGGTGGGAGGGGCACGAAACCATGTAAATAGTATGGGTTTCCGATACCCTCCTCGCTCAGGCGGGGCCTCCCTAGAGAGGTGGGAAGGGCACGAAGCCAAGTAAATAGTATGGGTTTCCGATACCCTCCTCGCTCAGGCGGGGCCCCCCTGGAGGGATGGGAGGGGCACGAAACAATGTAGATAGTATGGATTTCCGATACCCTCCTCGCTCGGGCGGGGCCTTTTTGGAGGGGTGGGAGGGGCACGAAACCATGTAAATAGTATGGGTTTCCGATACCCTTCTTGCTTAGGCGGGGCCTCCCTGGAGGGGTGGGAAGGGCACGAAACAATGTAAATAGTATGGTTTTCCGATACCCTCCTCGCTCAGGCGGGGCCTCCCTGGAGGGGAGGGAGGGGCACGAAACCATGTAAGTAGTATGGTTTTCCGATACCCTCCTCGCTCAGACGGGGCCTCCCTGTGAGGCTGGAATGGTCGGCATGGTATGATATGGGAGGCTGGAATGGTAGGCATGGTATTGATATGGGAGGCGGCAGGCGGGAGGGAGAAGGAGAGGATGTTCTGGGAAAACAAGAAGCCCACTCAGGATGTTGGGAATAAAAATACCCCCAAAATACCCCCAAACGGTCAAAAACAATTTAAAAAATAACCTCATACTATTTTTTGTTTTGATTATGTTCAGGGTACTTTTTTTTCCGTCGAAAATCCCCCTGTAGGGGGCCAGGCCCGACTTAATTAAGATTAACGATCCATGGATTTGGCGCGCGTTCGCCAAATTATGGATCGGGGGAGGTGCCCTCTCCAGAATGCGGCCGGTGCCGCCTCGGTCGGTGGCGGCAGTCCGCGATGTCCCCATGGAGACGGGACCTGTCACTAGTCTACGCCCCCGTTGGTCCATGTTTGCGATCGCCGGACAACCCCAGCAAGCAGCACAACGACGGGGCGAGACCAACGGGGGGAGCAAGCGCCATCCCGATGCCGTGGCCACGGCGCCGACACGCCCACAGCAGAGCCACATGTTGAAAGCCACTCGCTCTCCATGTGCGAAATTCTTGCAAACTTTTGAAAACGAATGTGCGCGGCGCTGAAGCGAGAGCCACATTTTGAAAAAGACCCGCCCTCCATCTGTGAAGTTCTTTCAAATTAATCCAAAACGAACGCGCGCGGCGCTAATGCGAGAACCACATTTTGAAAAAGACCCGCCCTCCATGCGTGAAGTTCAAGCATGTGTTAAAGGAATGTGCGCGACGCTAAGGCGAGAGCCACAGGTTGAAAACCACATGCCATCCATGTGTAAAGCTCTTGCATATGTTTGAAAACAAATGTGCGCGGCGCTGAAGCGAGATCAACATTTTGAAAACGACCCGCCCTCCATCCGTGAAACTGTTGCCAATTGTTGAACTTCAGGGTCATAAGTGGTGAGGAAGTCTCAGGCGAAACGCCCGGCCCTTCCTAAAATCTGGTCTCGGGGTGCGACAGGGCAAGTTAGTTCTAAGGAACAGGAATGGAAGAGGCGGGGGAGGACGAGGAGGAGGAGGAGGAGGAGGAGGAGGAGGAGGAGGAGGAGGAGGAGGGGGAGGAGGATCCTCCCCAAACTCCCGTGGACTGGCCAATCAGGGCTGGGTTAAGGGGCCCCCAGAGGCGAAGCTGAAGTTTCTCTAGGGGACCGGCGCTCCTTGGGAGAGGCACGTCGGCCAGGAGCCAGAGCGGCTTCGTGGGAAGCCTGGCCTCGGGCCGTTCACCTCATCTCGCCTCGTCTCCCTCTGTCCTCGCCTTGCCTCCCCCTCTCTGCGGCCGCCTGCTCTGTCCCTCGTCCCGTTCTTGCCTGTTGGCCAATTCGCTGCAACGGTCCCCCCGTTCAGTTAGCTCCGTCCGCCAGCGCAGACGTCCCCTGCCTAGCCGCCGACGCAAAAATCGTCTCTCTCTCTCTCTCTCTCTCTCTCTCCCCTCGCGTCGCAGGTCCGGGAGACCCTCGGGAGCGACCAGTTCGTGGTCTCCGACGTCGTCGCGTTCGAGCGCGTCTACGTCCTGAAGGCGCCCTAGCCGCGGTCGGGTCCGCAGCACGGGCGCGGGGCCTGTTTCTGGCGGATTTTGGACGAGAAATCAGAAATAGCCAAAAAAACCGTGGAACAATAGTGAAGCATCGTCCCCAGACTATTCTGTTAAACTATTTTTGGGCATTCCTCCTGTAGAGGGACATGCCCGACTTCACGCAAGGGATCCTTTGCAGGGCCAAGCCCGCGGCTGCAGCTATCGGATTTTGCCCGAGGTGGCCCTGGCCCAAGGTCTCGCGGCTCAGGAGACGGGGGTCACTGCAAACGGGGGTCAGCCAGAGCGCCGGATCTAGCAGGATCCTGCAGAGCCAGAGTCGCATCGACCCGGGCTTAGGTGCAGGATCTTGCAGGATCTTGCAGGGCCTAATTGACCCGCATTTGTGGGTTGACCCGGGTTAGGAGATTCCCGAAGGTTGCCCTTGCTGTTCCAGGGAGTCACCCGCGGCCTTCAGGGCCCTTCCCCAGGATCCGAGGCGGCGCGCGGCACTGGGGACACCTTGCGCCAGGAACAAGGTTAACAGCCCCCGTAATCACGTGACGCAGTGACCTCCACAGCATTGACGACCTTCCGTCTGCCAGCTGGCTGAAGTGCGGCTAACGGTGCTCCAAAGCGTAGCGTTTCCTCACCGAAAATCGATCGATGAACGTCCTGGGGTCTCAGAGTTGGGTTTCTTGTGCAAGGTTTCGTGTGGTCGGGCCCCTACTGTAATGGTGCTCCATCGTGGGGCACCATCACTGATATGCGGCCCTGGCGCCAGGGTTTCCAATCCTTCCTGCAGCTTCCCCATGGACGGAGAGAGCCTTACAGTGGAGACACATGCCAAGAAACACCCTGCTCGCCTCCAGTGTGCCCTGGGTGTCTTGGGTGTCGATGGTTTTGCGATGGAAAGCGTGACGCTCCCACACCAAAAATAGATGGACGTCCTGGGGTCTCAGGGTTTGATTTATTGTGCAAGGTTTCGTGCGGTCGGGCCCCTTCTGAACGGTGCTCCATCGTGGGACACCATCACTTATGTGCAGCCATGGCCCCAGGGATTCCCATCCTCCCTGCATGTTCCCCATGGACGGAGAGAGCCTTAAAGTGGAGGCCCATGCCAAGAAACACCCTGCTCGCCTCCAGTGTGCCCTGGGTGTCCGGGATTTCGATGGTTTTGCTATGGAAAGCGTGACGCTCCCACACCAAAGATAGATGGACGTCTTGGGGTCTCAGGGTTGGATTTCTTGTGCAAGGTTTCGTGTGGTCGGGCCCCATGGCGCCTCCCCAGCAGGCAGCATGCCACCCCGAAGCTACCTGCGAACTGTGAGCGCCCCGGGGGAGGGGAGGCGGAGTAGGAGAAGGGGAGGAGATGAGGAAGAGGTGGAGAAGCATTTCTCTCGGTGGCAAGCGAGGGGGGGAAGTGAGAAGGAGAAGCCATTGTCAGAAGGCGGCGGGACTTCTCAGAAGCGCTCCGGCCTTCTGAGAAGCGTTCTGTGTTCTTTGAGCAAGGCTTAGAACAATTCTCAGAAGGCCTGCGGATATCCGAGCCTTCTGAGAAGGCCCGCCCCTTCTCGTTTCCCCCCCCTCGTTCGCCGCCGATGAACGTGCGTAGCCTAGTCCAGGCTTGCGGGGCGGCCGAGGGCGGCTTGGACAGCCAGTTCATCGGCCCTACCCTGGGCCAATACTAGGAGAGGCGTGCGCAGGTACACTCCCCCCAAAGCGGGTCCGAAGGGCTTGCTTTCGGTGCACGATGCGCAGCTGTTTGCTCGTAGATGGAGAAGACACTAAGGCTCCAGCTTGGACACGGCCCTGTAGCGCAGACTTGCAGTGGCTCAGACCAGTGATAATCGCGAGCATTGTCTTTGTCTCCTGTATGGCTGCCGTCCACTTCGCCCGGAGGAGTGGCGAGCGCTCCGCGCAGCCATGCGTCTTTCATGTGGGGCTCCTGGCGCGCTTCAAGGTCCTGCAAACAGCCGAGGGAACTACGCACAACCAGAAGCCATTATGTTGTTTATCACGTGCCAGTACATCAAATGTTAACAGTTGCACGTGGTATCTACATATGTGCATGTAAATATGGACATACATACAAACATGCATATATGCAACCCTACCTACCTACATACCTACCTTCCTACCTGCCTACCTGCATACATACATACATACGTACACATACACCTACACACATTCGTACATACATAAATACATACGTGCATACGTACGTACGTGCATACATGCATACATACGTACAAATATACGTACTCAACTACTTACATACGCACATACGTACATATGCGCATACTACACACGTACATGCGTACATACGTACATACATACATACATACGTATATATATTTGTATACCTACATGCGTACGTACATGCATGCATACATACATACCAATACATACATACACACATGCGTACCTGCACACTTGCATACATACATGCATGACTGCATACATGCATACGTACACGTATACATACATTCATACATACATTCACACATATACAAGCATGCATGCATGCGTACCAACATACATACATCGATGCGTAGGTGCGTACGTTCGCACATGTGTAAACATACACACATGCATACATACATACATGCCTGCATGCACCCACACATGCATACAACCATTTACGCACACACACACATACACACATACATACACCCACACAAACCTAAATATATACATACACTCATGCACGCATAAATTCATACACATACATACGTACATACATACACACGTCTACATCTACAGAAACACGTACACATATACATATATTCATTCATACATAGTTGCAGACACGCATACATGTATGCATCTACACATATATATATGTATACAGACATCTAGACATACATACAGGCAATCATACATACATACATACATACATACATACATACATACATGTATGCGCGTATACATACACACATATACCTACATCCATACAGTCATACCTACACTCATGCACACTACATACATAAAGCCAGACGTACCGACATACATGCAACCATCTATACATACATACATGCCTGTATACACCACGTACATATGTACACATACATGCATGCACGCATGCACGCACACATACATACATGCCTACGCACACTCATACATATATACATACATACATGCATACATACATACATACATGCATACATACATACACTCATACATACATACATACGGGCACACATATATGCATACATGCATGCATGCATACATACACACACATACATGTATATGATAGACATACTTTCATACAAACATACATAAATACCTGGAGGTGTGCGTATACATGTATGTATGTGTGTGTATTCATATATATATGCATATATATATATGTGTATGTATATATATATATTATATAATCTGGGTACAGGGGCTGGGGCTTTTTCCCAGCTGCCTCGGGTCGCCATGGAGCTGCCAAGCTCCTCCCCTCCCCAGCAGAGGCCCGAGAGCCGCCTGGACGCCTGTAGTGGCCAAAGGTGTCCCGCGCGGCTTCTTGGCGCCCAAGACAGCTTCAAGACGGTCCAGGAGAATTCGACGAGCGTTCCCCAGAGTGTCCCCAGGGGCAAAAACCGTTGACCCCATGGTTTTCCCAATGTTTTCGGTTTTCTCGACTTTCGAGCTCCCGACGCTCCACGACGTCCCAAGAGGCCCCCAGGACTGCTCCAAGACGGCCCAAGAGGTCCCCAAGAGTGTCCCAAGACGGGCCAAGAGGGCCTCCGTAGCCATTTTGGCGCAAGCCATTTGTTTTGCCCAGGGGAGGTCTCCAAGTTGGTATCGTGTTTGGTTCTCGGCTGGACAGCCCCCCACTTGCATATTCTGCGCCATGCTTCAGGATTGTGAGGCAGCTCTCGCCGAGCAGGGGAAGGGGAGGGTTGCGCGCCCTGAGCTGGAGGGGATCAGCTTGGCCCTCACGCGATGCCCAACGGAAGAGCTGCTCGCCTTCTCCGTCGGCGACGGCCAGGACGCTAACGCGCACGAGAAGAGCTGGGGCGCCGCCGCGCTGCCCAAGAACGGCGACGAACCGGCGCTCCTCGAGACGGCGCCCCTCGCCGACCCGCGCCCCCCTTCCCTGGCTCCTCAGGTCCGAGGCGTGCTGGGAGCAGAAGGCCGTCGTCGCCGCCAGGTGGCCCGCACGTTCGCCTTGGGAGCTGGGCGCGAGGGCGCGTCGCCCGTGCCGGTCTGGCCGGCAGCCGCGAAGGTCTGGCCGGCAGCCGCGAAGGGCACCGCCTCGGGCCAGCGGCGCCCGCGGCGCCCGCGGCGGGGTGCGCCGAGGGCGGCGGCGCGGTTGGCAGCCCTGGGCGCCGGGCGGGCGCCATCTCGAGGGCGCTGCGCCGCGAGGCGCGCGGGCCCCGCGCCCCTCGGCGGCGCTCGGGGCCGCTCCGAGCTCGCGCGGCTGACCTCGAGCTAACAGTCGGCGGTGAACCCAGGGGGGGGGGGAAGGCAGAAGAACAATGACACTAGCATCTTCCTCTGTATGATCGTGCCGCATGGCCAGGAGAGCCGCCAGCTGGGGGCGCCGTGGCATGCCGTCAGCGCCTTCCTGGCGGCGTCAATCGGGGGTTGCGGCCAGGGGTGCTTCCCTCAGTCCAGGGCGAGCCATGCACCTCGTACCATTTGTGCCCTCCTCTCCGCCAGCTGGGGGCGCCGTGGCGTGCCGTCAGCGCCTTCCTGGCGGCGTCAATCGGGGGTTGCGGCCAGGGGTGCTTCCCTCAGTCCAGGGCGAGCCGTGCACCTCGTACCATTTGTGCCCTCCTCTCGGCCGTCTGCTGCCCAGGTGGCACCCAGCATAGGGCTGACACGCAAACCACCGACGCAGTACCGCGAATGCGGAGCTGTCGCGGACGTGGTCCTGGGATAGTTCTGGCACGATGGATTAACGTGGACGCCTCCTGCCTCGCGCGCCAGACACACGGCACGGATTGTTATCCTAGGATTTGTTCTTGGCAATTCGGGATGATCCAAAGGTTAAGCCAGGCTTACATTAT